GACACGCCGAAAACAAACTAACAGCGCCCATCGTCTACCACAGCGCTGCCAATTTTGGCCTCTTCCACACCTCCCCAATCCTGAAACACCATATTTAGGGTTTGCGCACCGATTCTCGCCTCCTGATGCGCCCCAAGCACCCCACTGATCATCTCGGCGCTTCGCAAACCACACCGCAACGCAACGCAAACTCTCCGTGCAATCGCTCACTCACTATCGAAACTACCATCCGACCTACTCTCAGCTCATGAACTCCAACCACAGCCCCTGCAAAAGTCGCAGCCTCTTCTCCCAGACGCGAACGTGATCCACAATGCTACTTCGTACTCCCCTCCCACACTCACCACGCACGCAGAAAACACACACCCCTCCCCTCGCTCACACAGCAGGCATCTCACCTGATCGCCTGAGGGGAAAGAAGCAGCTTCACAGAGGCCGACAGCCACGCATTGCAGCACGGGATAGGTCAGAAAGGTGAAGATGGCGGAATCACAACGAAACAGAGGACGCAGTCCACCAGCATTGGCATCCATGAATCAGGAAAGCGAGAGGAGCAACATGATGGACCAGCTTCAAGTGCGTGGACACCATTTAGGGTTGAGACTGTCCCGGGAGAGAGAGGAGAAGAAGAGAGGGCATGCTGGCATGTGTGAGAGAGATACAGTGCATTGCTTGGCATTCAAAGGTGGCGGAGCTCCTCCTCCACCTTCTCCTCTTCCTCTCCTTCGCCTTCGTCATCCTCGTCCCCGTTCCGAGCTCTGAATTGTCGTTGCTGTTTGGTGTCGCCAAACCCATTGTAACTTTGCCGTTTGTCTCTTTCCCGTGGCCGCTCCTTTAACTCCTACCACAGCATGCATCGGTTGAAGCAGCTACAAACAGAGTTTCCAGCTCCACCTGTTCCTCTGGCCAATTCAACACCTACAAACAAAACATGGTGTAAGCAGAGCTTCTAATTGTTTAGTACCATTCTATTTTTAAAAAAAATCTATTATTAAAGTAGGTATTTCAAATTACTTATATGTTATTCTTACTATATTTTTATGCCCCAAATACTAGTTTTATGTAAGCCTCATTGTTCAATTCAATTTGATGCATCCGTGGTTTCAAATTTTTAATAACACAATTTTTATAACATTTGTCAAATGTGCAATATTTTTCTTGGATTCAATGTAACAAATTAATTTAATTATTTTTTTATGGGAACTTATGGCAAAATTTTATTTGGTTTTTTAGAACTTTTATTTTAATTCATTTTGGAGTCACCAACAAAATTTGTTTAAAATTATATACCATAACAAATATGGTCCATCCAAATGGGCATCACAATTGGTTAGATCACATAGTGTTTTCTCCACTGATTTTTTAGCAAATTTCCTAATTGTGAAATCTCTATCTTCCATGAGTAGCCTTGTGAATTTGATTGAAACAATCAAATTAGTCATTTTGTTTTAGATGCAACATGCAAAAGTAGAATCAAGCTCCAGTAGAATTGTAAAGTGCAAATGTGAGGTGTTTCCTTTTCTTGAAGAATAGTGGTACAATATCAATACTTGCAACAACATACTTTGTACAACCACAATATGCATTTGTGAGCATTAATTATTGGCACGAAAGACAATCAAGGAGTTCAAGACTTGTGCATGGAGCACCAAATTACGAATCTTTTGAAATTACACTACCACTTTGCATCCACCATAGTTATCTTAAACAACTTGCAGACTTGAACATTATGCCTAGGAATCTAAATTTCACTATTTCTTCCATTGCTTGGACTATCATATGATCTTTAACTTAGGCAATCATTAAGAAATTAATTACATGTTTTATACCTTTAATGCCACAGATTTGTATAGGGAATATTATAGACTTGACTAGACCATATACATACATCTCTATATCTTTGCTTTTCGCTGCACGTTGTACTGCTATGTGTATAATATGATACTAATCATGTTGATACCTTCTCTTCTTCAACTATGAAGTTGTATCACTTGTTAAACTCATCTTTTATATCATTGTAGACACTAAGTAAGAATAGGATCTGGTTTATAATGTCATCTATATGTCCCTCGTTCTTAATATTTGATATTGTGATAGTCTTGCTTTCTCCCCTTTTGAATGTTATTATTCCAAGTCTAGCGTACAAAGAGTACTTGACTTTCATGGATATTGGAAGAGTTTTTTCTCTTAATGAAAAGATCTCGCATAGTCTAGGCTCGTTCATTACAACATCACATAGTAGCTCCAGATCTCGCTTCTCTTCTGTTATGTCAACAGATAACTCTATGTTTGTGACTTCAATACCTTGTTGTATATCAATACAGATTGTAGTACTAATCATGCTAACAAGTTCAGCAACAGATACAGCATATGATGATACATGTCTTATCTTCATTACACCTGAGCTAAAGTCAAAGTGTGCTTTTATAGGCGTCTTGTTATTGTCGTCTTTATGGGCTGGAATCATGAACGTAATAAGAAGTGTATCATTACCTTTTAATGTGTTGTCGACTTCCATTGCAGGATAGAAGTGCTTATACCATTGATAGTCACCAACATGTCTTTCGACAAGAGGCACATCTTCAGACACACATATAGTATCAAAAAGTGTATTTCCATCTGTATCGCTAATGCGCCAGACTAAGGTTACCTCTTTTATCATATAAGAATCCATGTCTCTTGATAAGCGTAAGAAAATAACACCAGCGTAAAAAGTACCTTTCTACATCAATATTTTTTACTTTTTTATATTACTATTCTATAGTAAACTTCATTGTAGTAATCTCTTTCTATTCTTATTATATCACCTCTTTTAAATCCGTACCACTAAACATTCAAACATTGTAGTCATACCTTCATCAGCTGATCTCTTCTGAACATCAATGGACATTGTTTTCTTACTTTTACATTCAGGACATTGCTCTGCACCTTCTTCCACGATGGCAGCTGTCTCTTTCGAATCTGTATCGAAGAAGATGGTGTTATTGATATCCTCATAATAGTTGATGCTTGGTACTTTAATGTCTCTTTTGATCATACATTCAACATTAAATTCGTACCATTTGATCATGTCTTTGTCACTACCTTTTGGATGGGAAGTAGCATGTATGATACTAATCATGTTGTTCCTTCTTCTAGTGAATTCATTCGAAGATACCACTAAAGGAAGTATTGTTGAACGTTCATAACATCTCTTTAACTTATTGTATGTCTCTCGAGTAACCCTGAGAACACCACCACTAAACAACAAAGGATACCTAGATGAGTAATACTCCACAAACTTAGTGGCTGTAGAAAACGTCTCTCTCATTATCTTGGGAACAAAGAAGACATCATCTCTAACAATTCTAATGTTAACTATGTTCCACCGCTTACACATAAGATATAAGTCATGTACAAAGTATGCTCTAAGTCTTTGAGCATGTACTAGAGTAGATTGTGATACCTCATCTGCTTCTACTTTCTCTACACTCAATGGTCTCCAAAGACATCGAGTCCACCCGCTCTTAGTTAATACAGATATACATTTTCTATCTTTGTTTATTTTTTGTTTTATGAACCGTTTGGACTTTAGTGCATCCTTACAAATAGTTATTTGCATTTTGAATTGCTTCAACGTATCATTCCAATGACATGTTACTAGTTCGCATTGAGGGTATGGAGAAACGTTTCTATAGCACAAAACAATAATAGATTGATCATACTCATGTTCCCAAATATATGGTCCTTTGGTATGTGGTATAGACATCGTTACGCTTGTATCATCAAAGACATCAAGAACATATATATTTGTTGAAAAGATATACTCTAATGCTCTACAATAGAGTGTTGGATCAAGAAATATATCTCTATTTCTAGCATTGAGAAGTATTTCTTCTTCTGTTAAGTACCACAGCTCCTGAAGACATATATGGGAGGAAAGCTTAGACTCTCTCTTAGAATATAGTAGGGCATACAATACAGTATAGAAGACTTATCTTTCCTAACACCTACTCTTCTTAAATCTGTTGAACACATCATCTCCTGAAGCTCCTTTGGAGCCTTACCAACTATGTCATTCTCTAAAGGATACAGTGGCTTAAATCGCATTATCTTCTTATGACTTCTCTTTTCATCAAATACATCATGGACGTATTTGTAATAGTTAGATTGTGATCTCTTAAGATGGTCTGTTGCGTAACAGCAAGGAAGATACTCGAACATATCTTTATTAGGTAATCTATTTCTTCTAAGTCCCGGAAATAGTCCTATTTCACAAGCATATATTCTTGAGTACAGACCATCCTTGGGATACCTCATAGTTGGTCTTCCTTCAGACTTATACTTCTCCTCTTCTAGTTCTGTAATTATTATTAGTTTAATAGAGCACTCTCTTGCATATCCAAATACAAACAACTCTGGAACTTCTTCTTTTCAAGCAAATGTTCGTGTACGATGTTTAGATACCTTCTCTTCTTCAACTATGCAGTTGTATAACTTGTTAAACTCATCTTTTATATCATTGTAGACACTAAGTAAGAATAGGATCTGGTTTATAATGTCATCTATATGTTCCTCGTTCTTAATATTTGATATTGTGATAGTCTTGCTTTCTCCCCTTCTGAATGTTATTATTCCAAGTCTAGCGTACAAAGAATACTTGACTTTCATGGATATCAGAAGAGTTTTATCTCTTAATGAAAAGATCTCGCATAGTCTACGCTCGTTCATTACAACATCACATAGTAGCTCTAGATCTGGCTTCTCTTCTATTACGTTAGTAGATAACTCTATGTTTGTGACTTCAACACCTTGTTGTATATCAATACAGATTGTAGTACTAATCATGCTAACAAGCTCAGCAACAGATACAACATATGATGATACATGTCTTATCTTCATTACACCTGAGCTAAAGTCAAAGTGTGCTTTTATAGGTGTCCTCTTATTGTCATCTTTAAAAGCTAGAATCATGAACGTAATAAGAGGTGTATCATTACTTTTTAATGTGTTGTCGACTTCCATTGCAGGATAGAAGTGCTTGTACCATTGATAGTCACCAACATGTCTTTCGACAAGAGGCACATCTTCAGACACACATATAGTATCAAAAAGTGATTAATGATTTCTTAATGATTGCCTAAGTTAAAGATCATATGATAGTCCAAGCAATGGAAGAAATAGTGAAATTTAGATTCCTAGGCATAATGTTCAAGTCTGCAAGTTGTTTAAGATAACTATGGTGGATGCAAAGTGGTAGTGTAATTTCAAAAGATTCGTAATTTGGTGCTCCATGCACAAGTCTTGAACTCCTTGATTGTCTTTCGTGCCAATAATTAATGCTCACAAATGCATATTGTGGTTGTACAAAGTATGTTGTTGCAAGTATTGATATTGTACCACTATTCTTCAAGAAAAGGAAACACCTCACATTTGCACTTTACAATTCTACTGGAGCTTGATTCTACTTTTGCATGTTGCATCTAAAACAAAATGACTAATTTGATTGTTTCAATCAAATTCACAAGGCTACTCATGGAAGATAGAGATTTCACAATTAGGAAATTTGCTAAAAAATCAGTGGAGAAAACACTATGTGATCTAACCAATTGTGATGCCCATTTGGATGGACCATATTTGTTATGGTATATAATTTTAAACAAATTTTGTTGGTGACTCCAAAATGAATTAAAATAAAAGTTCTAAAAAACCAAATAAAATTTTGCCATAAGTTCCCATAAAAAAATAATTAAATTAATTTGTTACATTGAATCCAAGAAAAATATTGCACATTTGACAAATGTTATAAAAATTGTGTTATTAAAAATTTGAAACCACGGATGCATCAAATTGAATTGAACAATGAGGCTTACATAAAACTAGTATTTGGGGCATAAAAATATAGTAAGAATAACATATAAGTAATTTGAAATACCTACTTTAATAATAGATTTTTTTTAAAAATAGAATGGTACTAAACAATTAGAAGCTCTGCTTACACCATGTTTTGTTTGTAGGTGTTGAATTGGCCAGAGGAACAGGTGGAGCTGGAAACTCTGTTTGTAGCTGCTTCAACCGATGCATGCTGTGGTAGGAGTTAAAGGAGCGGCCACGGGAAAGAGACAAACGGCAAAGTTACAATGGGTTTGGCGACACCAAACAGCAACGACAATTCAGAGCTCGGAACGGGGACGAGGATGACGAAGGCGAAGGAGAGGAAGAGGAGAAGGTGGAGGAGGAGCTCCGCCACCTTTGAATGCCAAGCAATGCACTGTATCTCTCTCACACATGCCAGCATGCCCTCTCTTCTTCTCCTCTCTCTCCCGGGACAGTCTCAACCCTAAATGGTGTCCACGCACTTGAAGCTGGTCCATCATGTTGCTCCTCTCGCTTTCCTGATTCATGGATGCCAATGCTGGTGGACTGCGTCCTCTGTTTCGTTGTGATTCCGCCATCTTCACCTTTCTGACCTATCCCGTGCTGCAATGCGTGGCTGTCGGCCTCTGTGAAGCTGCTTCTTTCCCCTCAGGCGATCAGGTGAGATGCCTGCTGTGTGAGCGAGGGGAGGGGTGTGTGTTTTCTGCGTGCGTGGTGAGTGTGGGAGGGGAGTACGAAGTAGCATTGTGGATCACGTTCGCGTCTGGGAGAAGAGGCTGCGACTTTTGCAGGGGCTGTGGTTGGAGTTCATGAGCTGAGAGTAGGTCGGATGGTAGTTTCGATAGTGAGTGAGCGATTGCACGGAGAGTTTGCGTTGCGTTGCGGTGTGGTTTGCGAAGCGCCGAGATGATCAGTGGGGTGCTTGGGGCGCATCAGGAGGCGAGAATCGGTGCGCAAACCCTAAATATGGTGTTTCAGGATTGGGGAGGTGTGGAAGAGGCCAAAATTGGCAGCGCTGTGGTAGACGATGGGCGCTGTTAGTTTGTTTTCGGCGTGTCCCGGTCGTAGGGGGGCGTTTCTAAATTTCAGGATTGGGCTGTAGGTTTTTGTTTCGTTGGTGGATTGAAGTCCTGGTAATGCGGCGGTTCCATTGTGTGCTCTTGCGATGTGGGCGATGCTTCAATGTGAGAGGCGCCCGTGGTCTTGGAAAGCGGGGATGGATCGGGTTTCGCCGCTTCCTTCATTCGCGGTTTTTGAATTTGAATCTAGGGGTGCCAGAATCTCATGCGCGCAAGCTCTTGGAGGGTCCGGGCTAATGCACGGGTTGCTTGTTTTGTGACGACAGGATTTTTTGAATAAAGCGGGGTAATTGGGGATCTGCGATGTTCGGATCCAGCAGCCGTAAGTTCTCTGAACGTGTCAATGGTAGAGTTGGTCCCGCAGTGGGGTAACAGTCGTGTAATGCAGCTGCGAGCGATGGTGAGGGTGACGGATACGGAGCCGTCGGGAGCAGTCGCGTGGCTGGAATTGAGCACTTCCTATATCGAAACGATGGCATGCAATATGGTCTTGGTAGTTGCTATTGGAGTAGCGCCGTGGGCGTCTTCTAGGGCACAGGCATCGAACGGCTGAGAAGGCCGGTGTGAATTCATAGGAGAGAGTTCTAGTGGTCGAGTGCCGTTGTCACAAGTTCGCAATTGTTACGTTTTTTGGATTTTCTGATCACCTCACGAGGTGGCTGCGAGAAATCGAGAGAGAGAGTCGTATCTTGCAGAATGTGGGCGCATGGGAGTGAGGTCGGCATTGTATGCGAGAGGGCTTAGGTGGAACGGTTCTCCGTTATAAGCATCTTGCCCTTGAGAGAGATGAGGACTGTTGCATTGTAGAGATGAGGATCCGGTGACGGAAGCCGGTTGCCCGATGTGGAGGAGAAGGCGATATCTGGTGTTTACGACGCAGTTGGTTGTCTAGTTGTTTGTGACCATGGATGTTTATTGTTGTACGAAAAGGGTGGGGTCGAATTTTCCAAAAGCAGCGTCACGTTGTAGACTTGAGCGGCGGTGTAGGCATTTTTGAAGCCTAGCCATGGTTTGCGCTTGGTGGTCGTAATTGCAGAGTGTCCGTAGTGATCGATGTGAACGTGGAGTGGTGTATGTGGAGGAGTTTCGGTTCGGTATTGAGAAAGGTTGGATCTGACAGTTGGTTTGAATCACTGGTGTGTGCTCAGCCTTCGGGGCATCAAGTCCGAGTCCTTTTGGTGCACCGGCCGCTTCCAACCCGTTCGGTGCGACTCCGAACCCATTTGGAAGCACTGCCCAAGCAAGCAATCCGTTCGGTGCCAAGCCATTCGGCAGCACGAGCCCGGGTTTCGGAGCGCAGACAGGGAGCTCTCTGTTCGGGAGCGGCACGTCGACGGGCGTTTTTGGAGCGACTGCGACACCGGCGTTTGGGGCTGCGTCAACAACTCCTGCATTCGGTGAGTAGTTGGTGGCATCGTGAGGCTGTTGTATTTGCCTTTGCGTGTTGAGGAGACGTTGGCGTGGTGGATGATATTGACGATCCTGAGTGGTGAGGGGCGTTGGGGCAGCCGTGCTGCCAGCCCTCAGGGTGGGTGTGGCACGACGAAGTTGACTTGGGCGCGTGTGAGGAGGTGGGGTGCTTTTGCGAGTATGAATGAGTTTCCAACATTTGCCTTTAGAACCCAGGACACGCACACCGACGAGGGGTTTGTGATTCAGTAGCTCGACCAGCTCACAACATCAGTTGGGGGTGGTGAGGGCCGTGATTGATCGATGGCGATGTAGACGGGCTCAGGAGCCGGAAGAGTTTTGTGTAGGGGAGTGTAATATTCTGTTCGGGTGCTTTCTACTACTGCAGTTGTTATCGGCGCGCATATTGGAATTGTGAGACGTTGGGTTTCGGATGACTGCTTGGTGTGCGTTTGAGAAGGGCGCATTTGTGATCTTGACACGAGGATTGTGGTATTCCATGGCATTAACATGGCATGAACAGGTTGACAGGGTGGTGGCTTGTATGTCATGGGCCGGGGTGCTAGGAATAGGAGTGTCGTCCTGCTGAGGCGTGAGTAACGTCTGGTTTGGGTGTGCAGGGGCGTTTGGTCAACAAAAGCCTGCCTCACCGTTTGGCGGATTCGGTTCCACTCAACCTCAGCAGAATCCGTTCGGGTCCCCGTCTTTTGGACAGTCGCAGGCAGCGTTCGGGAGCCAACCGTTTGGATCCACAGCGCCAGCTTTCGGTGCGCAGTCGGCCCCTGCGTTTGGAAGCACGACCACCCCACTGTTCGGGGCGTCGAGTCCAGCATTTGGGGCGGCGACGACAACTCCAGCTTTTGGTGCGGCATCGACTCCTGCTTTCGGAAGCAGTTCGGTGTTCGGGCAGAGTGCGCCTGCGTTTGGGGCGAGCACGACGCCTGCCTTCGGGAGCACAGCGACGGCATCACCATTCGGTGCGCAATGAAGTGGTGTTGTGGGGAATGCAGTGATGAGTGCAGTTGCAGTGGGCGTGTGTGAGTCGTTGTGAGCGGATGTGACGTGGACTGGAATAGGTTTTTTTTGAGGTAGTTGTATATGAGGGAAGGTGACGACAGTGTCTGGTTGTGGAGTTGGAGCAATAAGATGACGTTGTTTTTGGTGAAGAGCAGGGGCTTCCTCTGGGAGTGCATTTGGAAGCAGCTTCGGGGCATCGAGTTTTGGAGGTGGGCAGCAGCAGCAGCAGCAGCAGCAACAGCAGCGTGTGGGAAGCAGAGTGGCAGCGTACGCTGTGACCCCTGATGCGGACTCCGGGGTTGGGGCGAATGCCGGGAAGTTTTTGTGTATATCTGCTATGCCGGCTTACAAAGAGAAGCAGCTAGAGGAATTGAGGTGGGAGGATTATCAAGCAGGCGATAAAGGTGAGTGGTGGATCGTGTTTGAGTTTGGGCCTTGTCTTTGTTGTGGAGGCGTATTGAGAACCGTAACGAAGGTGAGGGATGTGGGTGTCTTCTGAACGCGTTTGAGGTGGGGGAGTCGGGTACGGTTGTAGGCAGACGATCTGTATGTGTACTGGTTTGTTGATTTGTTGGTTGGTGTGGCGGGGTGGCCCCGGGATTGATGGGTGGGCGTTGTTGTGTTGGTTTGATAGGCGGGCCGAACCCAGCTAGCCCCCAGCCTGCTGCTGGAGGCATCTTTGGTCAACCAGCACTGCAGACTCCAGCGGCATCTAGCCCGTTTGGGGCTGCGGCGACGCCGACGACCTTCGGGGCTGCCGCCACCCCTAATCCGTTCGCATCAACTTCCACGGCGAATCCGTTTGGCGCGAAACCGGCGTTTGGAAGTCCCAGCACCCCCACTCCTGCGTTTGGGCAAGCTTCAACGCCTGCATTTGGGCAGACTTCAGCGCCAGCATTCGGCACAAGCACGTTCGGTTCGAGCACGCCTGCTTTTGGAGCGGCGTCGACGCCAGCATTCGGGCAGGCGAGCTCGACCCCAGCATTTGGGTCGTCGCCATCTCCGTTTGGGCAGACATCGGCACCTGCGTTCGGGAGCACAACCTTCGGAGCATCATCATCATCTTCATTGTTCGGGCAGAGCAGTCCCGCATTTGGGGCATCTTCACCTGCATTTGGAGCGGCGTCCAGCCCGGCGTTCGGTGCGCAGACATCGTCCGCATTCGGAGGGGGCGGGTTGTTTGGGAGCAGTCAGCCAGCGAGCAGCGGAGGGTTGTTTGGAGCATCCACTCCTGCGGCTCAGCCGTTTGGGGCAAGTTCTGCTCCGGCGTTTGGGCAAAGTCAGGCAGCATTCGGGTCCAACTTGTTTGGCAACAACACAAGCAGCCCAGGTTCCTTGTTTGGTCAAACAAAGGCGGCGGGGTTGACACAGTCCTCGGTGTGTTTTCGTGATGCCTCGTTTGGTGAAAGTTGTGAGTTTGTTATCACGGTGGCGAGGTTTGTCATGTTACACGTTTAGGTTATGGAGGGTGGGTACGGAAGTGGGCAGTGCAGTGTTGGTGTTTGGCATGTTTGGTGGGTATGGATATTTGTGTGTGTGTGTGTGGTTTTTGGTGGTGTTGGCGTGGGAATGCGGGATGCCCTAAGCTGGTGCTGCCGTTAATTTGGTCTCGGTACCGTATTGAGCAGCAGCCGGTTGTTGGGAGTGTGTTGGGAGTTTGTGCAGAGCTTAGTGTTGTGATGGGGCACTCTTGATTGAAGCCATGAGTAGTTGATTGTGTGTTGTGAGTACGTCCTATCGTGCTAGCGGTTGCTTGGCTGTGCGAGTATGCGGTGGAGTGGTCATCGTCGTGTTTTTTCATAGCTGGAGTCACCTATGCCGTGGAGGTGTGGGCTCCATTCTATTTCGCACATGAATTTTGCAAACACAGTGATGATGGTGTCGTCTAAGGCATTTGTGGCTTGGTTGGATTGCAGTCATCGTCTTTGTTCAGTGGGTTTGGTGCAGCTTCTACCGGACAAACTCCTAGTACATTTAGCTTCCCAAGCTTGCAAACCCCGCAGCAAGGTAAGAGTCGCATAAGTTCAGGACTTGTGCATGGAGCATGTTTGGGATGCCATGAAGGTTTGCGTACAATCTTGGAGCGGTTTTTGTTCTGCAACTCCCAGGGCCACTTAATAAACTGCCAAGCAGAGTCAGCAAACTGTTGAATGTTCAGTTCTTTGCGGCGTGGTTTGGTTGAACCGTACCTTGGGACTTTGGCGCAGCGACGTCGGGCGAGCGTGCTGATGTCTACTCGTTTTGCGATGTGTTTACGTGTTTGAGTTTCGGGCAGGGGGCAGTTACTGTTGTTGTGGGCAGGGGGCACTTTTCTGCATGAGTTGGTTCAAGATGGTTCACACGATGATCTGTGGTGTGTGATGCCTGTTTGGGTGCAGGGGCGACCAACACCTTTGGCGGTACCCCGCCCGCATTTGGTCAGCAGAATACATTCGGGCAACAGCAGTACGTGATATATATGTTTGTTTGGTTGGTTTGATGCTTGGTTGAGTTGGTCGAAGGGTTCAATTGCAGCTGATGTTGTGGTCGCGATTCAAAGTGTGTGGAAGTCCTGTCTTGGTGCCTGGTTCGTGTGACGCCCGCACCCAGCTGCGGAGGTGTAGAAACGAATGTTGGATTCCGGAGCAGGCACGGGAATGGGCTTTGTTTTTTTGGTGGTTGGGAGGCTGACGTTTTTAGACGCCGTGTGTTGCAGAGCTACTCAAAACGTTATCTCGGCCACAGCTAGCCCGGTAACCAATCCCTTTGGGACACTACCTGCCATGCCCCAGATAACAATCGGCCGAAGCGCCGGTTCTGGTCCGTCTGTCCAGTATGGGATATCGAGTATGCCGGTACGTTGGGACTTTCAGATTTTGGTGCACAAGCAGTGGTTTTTGTGATTGGAAAAGAGAACGATGGGGGGAGGAAAAGAGGCTTTTGAATCATGTTTTGGGGGGAAGAATTGGAATGAGTGAGTGTGCAGTGCTGTGGTGAGTATTGCGCGGTGGGAGGTTTTGGTGAGACGGAGGGTATTGTGTGCGCGCAGGTAGCCGAGAAACCGACTCAAGTGCGTGTGAACACATTGTTGACTCCCCGGCATATCACGCAGCGGTCAAAGGTGCGCATGCACGCACGACGCTACCATCCTAAGAAGGATAGCCCAAAGGTAAGACGATGCGGAGTTGATTACCATGAACGAGGAGCTTGCGTGGGTATTGAAAGGTTTGTCATGGATGTGGGATGCAAGTGTGGAGTGATGAGGCAGAGTGCGTGAGTCGTTTTAGGTGGTATGTAGATGGGACCCTAGCAAGGTTTGGATGTAAGATGATACACGGTGTGTAGGTGATTGCGAAAGGTGACTCCCATGTGTCGACAAGTTGGTCACTTATGTGTTACGTACGACGTCGTTTGATTCTCCGTTTGCAAGTGAAATGGGAGGTTTGTTGCGTGCGAAGTCGGGTCTCTGATGTTGGGGCGAGGTGGTGGTCGTATGGCATTTGCAGGTGTCGTTCTTCAGTGATGGTGACGAAGCCCCCTCAACCCCGAAAGCAGATGTGATGTTTGTTCCTCGAGAGAATCCGCGTTCTCTGTTCATTCGACAGCCGGAATCGTCTCCTGCGATTCCATCTGCGGCGAAGGACGCAGTGGATGTTGGAGAGATAGCCACACCCGTGCAGAAGGATGGTACGGCTCTGACCATAGTGGATTCTGCAGTGAACCGCGGGGAGGCTTTGGCTGGTTGGGAACTCGACAGTGCTTCGGGTGATGTTTGGAATTTGCATAGGCACAGGCAGAGGCATAGGCATAAGCTTAGGTGTGGTAAAGGAGAGTGGAAAGTGAGTCACTTATGGAGGCCGTTTTGTTGTCGGGTTGGCAGGCTCCCAGGATGAAATGAGGAACGAAGTGGGTGGCGATCCTGTTCCGTTTTCGTTTCCTGAAAGTAAGCCGCAGTGGCGTGTTTTTGTGGGGCTTTCCTGTAGTGCAATGCCGTGTTGCGGGTCCGGTTAGAAGGGGCGAGCACGTTTTTCCCGGGTTTGTTATTTGCTGAGGTGGTAGATGCACTGTGTGGCGTACTGAATCTACCGTTTCCAGGTCCACACAATAACTGGAGAAGCCCAGACGGCGTGAATGGGAATGGATTCGTGGGAACTCCAGCAGCATCTCAGGCGAAGGCCAGTGAGAGAGGGGCCTCGAAACAGGTGTCGAAAAGCAACGGGTTGCGGGAGGAGCACAGTCACAGAGGAAATGGCTACATTTCGATCACTGGTAAGCGGATGGTGGCGTCTGGAGTTGGAATGGATTGTGAAGGTGATCGGTGTATGTTGGTGTGGATTCGTGGAGTGGGAGGAGTGGAAGTTTGGGTGATGAGTGGATGGTGATACATTGGTGCAGGTCATCGTGCCGGTGAAGCTGCAATCGCGTACGAGCACGGTGCGGACATAGAAGCTTTGATGCCGAAGTTACGGCACTCGGACTATTTCACGGATCCAAAGGTGCAGGAGCTGGCGGCGCTGGAGCGTGCGGATATTGGGTATTGTCGCAGAGTGAAGGACTTCGTTGTTGGGCGTAAGGTAAAGACAGCATGCGTTGAGTTGGTGGAGAGAGTGTGAAGTATGCGTGAGATGTTATGCCTGGGTGAAGGTGGGTGAGGGGTGCGTGTGAGGAGGCGAGTTGGTGTGGAGTGAGGGGTTGGGCTGGAGCAAGTGGAAGATGCGGTTTGACGTGATCTGGCATGCAGGGTTACGGGGAGATAAAGTTTTTGGGCGAGACGGATGTGCGACGCCTGGATCTGGAGAACATAGTGCAGTTCAACAAGTGCGAGGTGCTGGTGTACATGGACGAGACGAAGAAGCCGCCGGTAGGGCAAGGCTTGAACAAGGCAGCGGAGGTGACGTTGCTGAACGTGAAATGCATAGACAAGAAGACGGGGCAGCATTACGTCGAGGGAGTGGAGGTGGAGAAGTTTCAGAAGCGGTTGAGGAAGAAGACAGAGGAGCAGGGGGCAGAGTTCTTAGGGTACGATGGGGCGAAGGGAGAGTGGAGGTTTCGAGTGAAGCATTTCAGTCGATATGGACTGGACTTTGAGTCGGACGAGGAGGATGGGGCCGAAGGGCCAGGAGAGGGCGCCATTGTGGTTGCAGGTAGGGGCAGGGCGGCATTTTCTCTTTTCGGTTGTTTTGTGAAAGCGAGGTCTTGGCTTGGTACTCGCAGCGTGGAGCCAAGAGTCGTGGACGGGGTTGGATGCAGGGTGTTGGGATTTAGCGTGGATGCGGGAAATGGTTGGTTTGGTTGGGGTGTTGAGATACTGGTGTAGCTGACGTGTGTGAGGCATGTTGGGCGGTGGTGGGTCAGGAACGTACGACATGGAGGGTGTTGAGCAAGGTGTGATGCACGATGCGGATGATTCCATGTTTGAATCTCCTATGAAGAATTTTGATGCGATTCCGGAACCTGGAGTGGGCATGGAGGATGAGGTCGGGGACGACCTGATTGATGCGTCCTATTTCACGGCTCCACAGGCAGCACTTCCGCACTCCCTGCCCGCACACCTTCACCTTGATCCCGTGAAAATGCAACAAATGCGAGCCCTTTTCTTTGCCGAAGGTGGTTTCCAGTTTATGGATTGGAGATTTGTGTAGAAGTTTCAGGGATGGCGCTGTGTTTTGTTGTTCGGTTTGTGATGGTGACATGTTGAGTTGGGTTCTCTGTCAGGCTTGTGTGTGCGTGGGGTGTAATGCCTGGAGGTTTTATTTATTTATTTGTTTGTTTATGTTATGTTTCGCTAGCGGTTGCGGGTCTGAGCCCTTTGAACGAGTTTGCTGGGGAGTTGTGGCGGGGGTGAATGGTTTTGGTTGTCCGCTTTGGTAGTGAAGTGTATAGTTTTTGGAATGTCAGGTGAGGAGGCGGAAGATATCGCACCACCCGGGGCTTACGGGCGCTGGCAGTCACGTCCTCCAGCGCCATCTCCCGCCGGTATGAGCTCGGGCGTGCATGGTAGTCAGTCGTTCAAAACACCTCAGAAAGTTGGCGTTGGTGAAGATGTGGACGGGCGTCCAGCTTGGCCGCAACGGTCATCTCCTTGGAAGGGAACCCCTGCGAAGCAGATGCGAGTTTCTCCTCTTACGTCTTGGAAACGATCACCTGCTTATTCTGCTCTGGAGGAGGGGATGTCGGGCCGTCAGACGGCGATCATGGATGAATCTCCTTCCAGGTTAGCATTTCTGACGTGTTTGGGGTTAGTGTAGGCGGGTCGACGGCAGGGGGGTTGATATGCTGGCCTTTTGAGCACAGCGGCTTGGGGATAGGAGTAGGGAGGGAAGTAGGGGGCTGGTTGCATTCGTTAGTCAGTTGGGTTTGTCGACTAGTTCGGATCCGTTGTTGAGTATTGAAGTGCGTCACTGCGTGGGGGGCAATCACTGCATCAGCGGTTGATTACAGTGAGGTGAAAGGGTGTTGTGGACCATGTGCCTGTATGGCGAGGAAGTGCTGTAGTCGTCGGCCTGACTGTTGACGTCCTTACTGGCACAGGTCCCCACTGTTGGCGTTGACAATGAGTGGAGAACGCGAGCGGTCAGGCATGAAAAGATCACGTGGCAGCGGCTTTTTGCTGGATCCGACGGAGAAGTCCGGTGCAATGGCTTTCGGGAGGTCGGACCACATTGCAGACGCTGCGCTGTTCTTGGGTTGCTCGTTCCGTGTAGGATGGGGTCCGAATGGAGTGTTCTATCACAGTTCGACGCCGGTTGGGCCAGGGGGAACGAAGAATGGGTTGTCTTCATGCATTCAGGTGGAAAGAGTGGCGCTGGATCGGACAGTGCGGGATGACGGAGGAGTTGTGAAAGACGAGCTGGTGGAAATGCAGTTCGTGTCACCGTTGTCGCTTCACATGTCCATGAGCCGGGTAATGTTGTGCATCGTGTGTATCCAAATTGGTCGGAGGGTCGCACGAAGGCAGGGTCTGGAAATGTTGCGTTGGTGTCGGGCACAATGTGATATATCCTGAAACGGTGTTATTTGTGTGTACGCATCGGACGCCCAGCTTTTAGATCCAGGGTTCATCGTCCTAAGGAATGGGCATTGTGGGGTTTTTGCTGTGTGCCGTCGGGTGACGGGAGTTGTGAACTGTGTGGGTTCAGGTGGTGGACAATGCCTCAGATTCCGCCGCGAGGTGTCTCCGGCTGCGAACCTTAGTGTGCAGCAGGACTGATTTGCCCGGTGTATGCGGTGAGTACGAAGACCTGGTGCAGAAACAGCACGAGGTGGTGGGAGTTGGAGAGGCAGACCTGGTTGTTCTGAGACATCAGCGGATGGTGTGGCAGTTGATCAACGTTCTTTTCTCGGAGACGGCAAGTCCGGCGGAAGCAGAGGATGTGGACGAGAATGGGGAGGATGCAGATGTTGAAAAGAGTTCAATGCAGGCGGCAGATGTGTCTGCTGAAGTGCTAATGCGCCGGGCTGGGTTCAGCTGCTGGCTGCAGGAGAGCGTAGGTCACCTGGTGCAACGAGACTTGGAGCATCTGGAAGGAAATAAGTATTTGAAGGAGATATTCATCCTCCTGACAGGGCGACAATTGGAGGATGCTGTTGAGAGGGCTCTAGAACATGGTGACGTTCGGCTGTCCACGCTGCTATGCCAGGCTGGTGGTCCAGTTGGGATGCGAGGTGATGTTGCAGCGCAACTGGAGGTTTGGGGTGCAGAGGGTCTGGACGAGTCGCTCATCGAGACGGATCGAATGTCGATCTTTCAACTCCTTGCAGGTGAGTTGTACGTGATGGATGAAAGCGGGTCCCATGGTAGCGAGACGGCGTCGGGGATGGGTTTGCCGCGAAATCGCGTGCGAAGCTGAGGTTTTCAGAATTGAGGACGCGTACGCCTTCGTGCATTGAGTTACGTAGCAGTATGGATGTTGGAAGACTCTGACGCTGTTGTGTGGTTTGCAGGTGACTTGAAGGGGGCTCTTGGCGGGGCCAACGTGGATTGGAAGCGGTTTATGGGTCTCGTGATGTGGTATCAATTGAGCCCCGACACAGATCTGCCGTGCGTGATTGAGACGTTCGAGGAACTGCTGGAGAAGCATCACGCCCCAAACCCAGAGCCAAAGTACGTGGAGGAAAGAGTGTCGGTGTACGACACCCAACTGGAGGCCCGTGGTTACGACACGGCGTACTATTTGATGCTTTTGCATGCAAAGAAGGCGAAAGGAGAGGTCGGTATGAGGAAAATGTTGTCTGCGTCTGCATCGACCTTTGACAGACTGGACCATAGGCTGGCATGGCATCAACAAGGGATTCTTCATGCCATCCGCATGTTGGAAGGCGAGCAGCTACACGACGTGCACATGAACTTCGCGAGTCAGCTGCTGTCGGTGGGTCTGTGCCACTGGGCTGTGTACGTCGTTCTTCATATGCCGAAATCTGAACAACACCCAGGATTGCACGAGAAGGTACGGCACGGAATGGGGTGGGCGAGGTCTAGTAGTGTTTTGAACGTTTAGGCGTGCTGGAGGTTTAATGGAGCAAGAGCGACAACAGATTTGATGCTGGCAAAGGGAATGCAGGTTTGCGTGTACAGGGGATGGTGAATGTTGACGTAGGTGGCTGACGGACCTTTTTATGGGTGGCACTGAGAGGAATGCAATCGGTGTGTGTGTGTGAAGGTTGTGAAAGAGATTTTGAATCAGTACTGTGAAACGTGGAGCTCTTCAGAGACACAACAGCAGTTTCTGGAAGAGGACCTGGGGGTTCCTACGGAGTGGCTACATGAGGCCTTGGTAGGTTTGCTGACCTGGTGATGGTGATGCATCTGATGAGGGCATCTCGCAGTGTACGGGCGTGTGCATCCCCTGGTGGTTTTATGTTTTTGTTTGTGCCGATTATCTCAAGAACTGTTGTTCGGTTTGAGGGGCATTCGAGGGTAGCGTAGGCAACCACAGGCTCACTTGTCATGCGACACACAGGTTGAGGATGAAGTTGGATGGTCGTTGTGGTGTTTGGTGTGATGGTAGTCGTACGGTGCGTGGTTCAGTGGGGCTTGGGAAGCGATTGACGGTGTCACGGTTGCACCGCGTTTTGGCAGGCATTGTACTGGCGTTATTGTCGCAACGACAGGAAGGAACTGGAGCATCTGATCAAGAGCTGCCAGTGGCGGAACGCGCACTCGCTATTCGTGGCAACCGTCGCGGCGTCGCTACTTCTGAATTGTATGTAGTCGTGCCAAAGCTTGACCGTGATTGGATCTTTTTATCCTGTGTGCGGAGTTATTTTTGCAGGAGGGCACGGATTGTGAGTGATGTTACATCAATGCGGAATAAGGAGAGGAACCTGCCGTGTGTCAGGGTGCTGTGCGAGTCCTGGTCAGTGATTTGCGACTTGTGGTGGGAACGTGTTTGAGGTTGAATGTAATCTGACAAGAGCGTGGGTTGATGGATGTCGCAGCGGAGTATGCTGAGATATGGCAGTTTGCGAGCCAGTTGGAAGGGCATCTGACGGAGGTGGAGGACTGGGATCTAGGAGCAGGCATATACATCGAGTTCTTGACGCTGAAATCCAGCTTCAAAGACACGTCGAATGTAGTGGAGGGGCTGGTATGTGATGTCGGTCAAGTCGCGCGAAGGGAGTTGATTTTGCCGTTCGAGTGCAGAGTGGAACACGCGGGGGTTGCCTAACCGGGGCGTTCGGGTGGGGTGTAATGCAGGAGAGTTTGGAAGAGAGGAGCTCAGCTTGTGGGGCGTTCTTCGAGCGGCTGAAGGAGTCGCAAGCAATGTGGAAGTCGAAGAGTTCGATCGAGGCCAGGTAAGAGCTGCACTGCATACGACTGTAGTGGCGACATGGGTGGCGCTTCATTTGCGAGTCGTGGGTGGTTTGATACGACATGTTGTAGTGCGTTAGGTTGTGTGGATACCGCAGAACTGGGAGGCGTGTAGAGAGGGGGCGGGATGTGGATTGTGGGGTAGGGGGTGTGGTAACAAGAGTGAGGGTGTTTGAACGCAGGGCGGCTTATTCAAAGATGGCGGACGAGATTTCGTTGTTGTTGTTGGAGGAAACAAAAGCACAGGCGTTGGACGTGAGCGCGGAGATGAAGATGTTTGACATTGTTCTGGATGCTCCCATGCCCGAGGACGTGCGCATGTGTCGTCTGCAAGGAGCTGTGGCAGCGTTCGCGAAATTGGTTTCCGAGGAAATTCTGGTGTGAGGCCCCACGATGTGGATGAGTGCGTGTCGCTGTTCGGGTAGGGGAGTTGTGAGGGCCCTGTGCAACGAGGGCATCGCATCTCGGCACGGTGTACATCAATTAGTTGAGTTACCCTTGAGTGCGTGGCGCGGTAGGAGATGCAAGGAGTGCGCATCGGTGAATCGTGCATGGTATGGAGGATTTTTGAGTACCAGCACGGTGAGCTGAGAGGTTAGCTGGAGGGAAATGTGAGAATGTAGTTGTAGGAATATTGTAGCAGGAAGGTTTGCAGGTAGCGGTGATGTAGTAGAAAGTTTTCGAGAGCTTTCACAGCGAGTATGTTGGGTGAGGCAGGTGTCCTCTAATATGGAGTTATGGAGAGAGGGGAACAGAAGGGGAGGTGTTGAATGGAGTGTTTTTTAGTTGGTTTGAGAGGTGCGTGGGGGAACCACCGGCTCTGTGGAGGTAGATTAATTCCAAAAGCCTACTCAGAGGGCAGCCTTGAAACCACTGGTGATGTCTCCTGGCGCCTGTCGATGATATTGTGCACAGCTTGCGTTTTGTCTATACGTGCATGAGTTCCAGTCCCCTGGGTGTGCGCAACCGGGTATATATGGTGTGGTGTAATGTGTGGGTACGTGCTGCTGCATAGTATGCGTGATGTTTTGAAATCCCAAGCTTGTTTCGGAAGTGGTGGGCAAGTGGGCATCAATGGGAGGTGCGAGGATTACGTAATGTGGAGTTGTCAGATTGGACTCACCAAGATTGACTGTGGAGCAGGGCACATGATGTGGGAGGTGCATGGAATCGGTAGATGTGCACGCAGCACCGGTACAGTGCTCTCTGTGAAACGGAAGTCGGTCACGGCGTCGAGCGTTGAGGGGAGCAGTCGGTTTTTGTGTTGCACGGAGATGTCGGACCCCCCGCACCGTCGGCAGACGATGCGTTGTGTCTGGCAGGTGCGCTTGCGAACCAGCGAACGTGCGGACATTTGTGAGATTTGGTTGTTGAGAAATCACCTGATTACAGCAAGGCAAGTATCAGTAGCGGGTGGTCAGCGGTTGAAGTGAGCGGTGCCGTCGTCGACCCCTGGGCGGTTGGATTTCGTCGGTGAAGACTCGGTAGGAAGGGGAAGAAGGAGCTGGTTGGAGCAAATGGATCCGCTCCAGCCGTTGTGCTGCATGGAAACGACCGGCACTTGCAGCGACTCCCGAAGAGCTCTAGATGATGCAGGCTCTAGAAGTTAGTGTCGCAGATCCAGTTTTTCGTGCTGTTGCATCCGCCACGTTCGTTGTCGTAGTAGCCTTCGTCAACCGCCGTCTTTGTGCTTGCGTTTGTCATCACAATGCAGAATATTGCCCTGGATGCTATGCTCTCACATCATAGTGGGTCTCTCACTCGTCTGAGTGTAATTGTTCTACCATTGCCAGCTACGGTCTACATGAGTAGATACCCTTTTTAAGAACATAGTTATTCTAGAAGAAAATTTGATGATAAGAACAATAATAATAACATTGAACGTAATAATTTGGTTGAAGCACTTAATTGTGAATGGATGAAGGTGATTTGGTGCTGGAAGCGACATGGTTGAAGGAGAGTGTGTAGTGTGGATGGTAAGTGTGTGTAATGGATGTTGATGGAGTGAGTTTATTTTATTATTTTATTTTGTTTTTGTTTTTATAAATTTATTATGTTAAAAAACATTAATTTTGTTGATATATGTGGAAGTTTGATTTTCATATTTAAATATGCTACTATTACAAAAAGAAACTTATTGTTAAAGACATGGATCATAAAAAAATTCTATGAAAACAATGTATTTTTGTAACACTCAAAGAAAGGGAAGAGAAAGGGGAGAGGGAAATGAAAGATAGATGTAAGATAGAAACTAGAATGATTATTGCCAAATACAAAGAGACTAGAGATTCTTGAACTAAGACAAGAATACAAGAAAGGCATTGATAAGAGTGAAGAAGGCCTCATTTTTACTTTTATATATATTATTTGACTAATGAGTTATGTGGTAGCATTCTATAAGTCATCCAATACATGTCCATCTTGTGGAACATGCATCTAACTTGCAAGGCAAGTTTCCAACATGTGCACTATATGGTTAACTTGAACCACAAGTGGTCAACATGTGTGTCATATGGCCAACTTATTGACCTAGTTTTTAACTGATCAATCACTTATAAACACTTGAAAAGTCAAATTTGTGTTTATAAAGCTTTCTAAAAGGTGCTTTATAAGATATTATCAAATTTGTTTACTTCTAATTATTTTTAGCCTATTCATCTCATATTCAGTAGTATTGATATATTTGTGATATTATCTCTTTTCTTTTCCTCCCTCCTATTCTAAGGACGAGTTTTTTTAAAGAACAATGATCACATGTTTAGGAAGTCTAAGATGTGGCAAATTGTTGATGCCTTCATGATATTATTCAAAGCAACATTTGAAACTTTATTAAGAGTGATTTTTACCTCCAATGGCATCACTAAAAATTGAGAGTATTTTGCAAGGTAGTAATACAAAACCTGTATCTTGCCATCTATTCAAGAAAAAACATGTGATTCTTAAGTGTTTTCATCTATGCTATGTTGTCATAAAGGATGTGACAATCTTAATGGCTTGTCAAATAATTCAAGAAATAATAGTTTTTTAGTTGAATCTATTGGTTGTTGTTTCTTTATGTACTTAATCCTACAAATACAAAGAAACTAGAAAGAAGTATAGAAGATAGAATGCAACTTTTATTGAACTTGCTTTGTTTTATAAAAAAGAAGTTTTTGTCTCTTAATTTTAATTTTGATGGATATCATCAATGTTAAGCATCATCATTTTTTGTTGCATTTATAAGATTGTAGATGGCTTGCATGTGTATTCATTAATATCATATCAAAGCCAATGTATAAGATGTTCCAACCTATTTCAACATTGCCTTAAGTTCAAGAGCTATTCTATTTGTTCATCTTCATTTATTTCTTCTCTTTTCCTTCCCTCTTTAATATGGGTGGAGTAATAATGTGCCAATGGATTGATTTAAGTCTAATCTAGAGCTAATTAAGCAAGGATTCTAGGATTAGTAGTATAATATTTTAAGATTTTATTTAGATCTAACTTAGACATCACTATGCCGTAAAACGTATGTATTTTCTAGTAAAATTAAGTTCTTATGTGTATTTTAAAATCAACTTAGTTTTAATTTTGAGATGAACTACTTATATTGTATATTTGTTCTAATGATTGTATGTATTCTTTATATGTAAATTTCTAATCTATTCCAATTCTATATATTCAAACCATGGAAAATAACTAGTCAATGTATGAATAATCTAAATAACTTGTTATGTGATTTGATCATTTTTTGTCTAAATATTTGTAGTCATCATTGCATTTTATATCATTTTATATATCTTAAAGGTACTTAATATTTTAGTAATTTTTGGTATGTAATTAAAAATAATAGATTTTATTGAAGATTACAAATATCTATTATTAATTTTTTTATAAGTTTTTAAATAGTATTTTAGACCAATTTATATTTTTGAATAAACTAAAGAAATAAAAACTAACTATTATTGAATTATAGTTGATTGTGGCAAGTATATTTTTACACTTATTATAAAATTAGAACATATCTAGTAGGATTTGTATAGATATAAGGCATCAATACAAAATATGGTTATTTTTTACAAATATAGTAATAATCACATTCTTGTCTATTAAAAAAATGGATTTTATGATGGTCTTATTTTATATAACATATATTTTATTGCTAAAGAAATGAAGAGTTTAAATAGCTAATAATAGATAGTTGATATGGTAGATTACATTTACATTAAGGTACCTTGGAATTTTATTTAAAATAATAAATATTTTTGTTATATATATATATATATATATATAATATTATAAATAAATTGAGTACATATAATTATATAGAAGAAATGATATATATGTATTTAGGATTTATACCTTAATGCACAATATTTGGATGTTTATGAATACTAAATTGTAAAAAATCTTTGTGTGTGGCTTTGAAAAAAAAAAAAAAAAAAATTTAGATAGTACTATTTAGTTAATTTTTTATTTACTTTTTTTTGGTTTCTTTCATCTAAATATAGAAACCAGAAACTTTAAGCAATTTTTATCTACTCTTAGTATAGTTATGTTAAGCTTCTCTACTAAGCACTTATATTATTCAATGTAGAAACTGTAAAATATAATAAGGTTACTATTATGTACTTTCACAAATTATTCATTTTTTTGTATATTAAAACTTATAATTGACCAGAATATATATATATATATATATATATATATATATATATATGTTTATAATGAGCATACTGAATTAATTAATGTATCTAAATATCATTATAGTTTATTTGCATTTTGTGTTTGATGCAAATATCTTTGGGTGTTGATTCTACAAACTTGATTTGTTTTTGTTTAGTTTTTTTTATTTTTATTTTAATTTTAATTTTTATTTATAAGTCCTTTATATTATTTTATATAGATAGTATCACTATCATGATTCTTGTGCATGTTTATATTCAACCCTCCAAATTAAGGTTTGAAATAATATGTATGTCAAATTTCTTCAACTTTGATGTCCTACTTTTTCTTTTTATGAAAACATCTTATTAATGTATTTTAGGTTTCACTAAAATTTTGCATAATGAAAAGTATTTTGAATTTATAAATATTAATACATAGGTATTTTTTTAAACAATGAATTTTTATATTTTAATTTTAAATATTAGGCAATTTTAATAAATTTTTTGCACTTATACTCATACATATTTATTATTTCAAAGGTTTTTTATAACCATTATAGTCCAATAAGTCTTAAATGTATATAAGCAAGTATAGTTCTCCAATTTATAAATGTGCACCTATATAGAATACTTGTATTAAGAATTCAATTGAATTATTATATGTTAATTAAGACAAATTCATTAGTTGATGACATTTTAATATATCTTAAGTGTTTATTTTTAAAAAAGTTCAAGTGATAAAAAAAATTAAATAAAAAGAAACTATTTTTGATCAAAGACATATGTTTAACTTATTAATAGTATGTTTTAATTCATAATTGTTATAGAATTGTATATAAATTTATGTAAAAAAATGTAAATGATCATTTTAATGTTAAAGTTCATTAAGTACAAATAACCAAACATAGTGTTTAATAGGTTAAGTTGTAATATATCTTGAGTCTTGAAGAAAAATCTTCTTTAAAATTTTTATAGTTTGTTGTTAGGATTTTGTAGTTGACATTGATAAAATTAATGAATGTACATGTATGCGAGCTATTTTTATCTCTCAAAGGATTTATTATTATTTACAAATGCCCTACTTCTCAATTCTACATACACATGCACCATGGATCTTTTGGCAAGTGCCACATGGAATATGTTATTTGAATCACTACTAAATTTTTTCTTAGATTCTTGAGTTTGAAAGGGAACTAATGTTAGATTTTCCTTAGGCACACTTAAATAGATTGTATAAGAGTGTTAACATATGGTGACCGAAATCCAATTTTAAAATAAATTATGGAATGAAGTTGTTAGATGTTAGGAGCAAACACAAAATTAAAAGTAGAAGCACTTAGACATTGTGGTAGCTATTATCACTTAGCCAAATACTAACTATTAGGTGTGTATGTGAGTGTCTATTAAATATTCAAAAATAAAAAATCATGATTGGCTTGTCAAATATGGTATCATAGATTCTATCCAATTTTTTTTATCAAAGAAGTGACAAATTTGTTATAGTATATAGTGATAACAACTTGGTCTTTTTAAAGAGTACATGTGACCCTATGGAATACTTGTACATTATTCTATACTTTTTCTCTACTAAATACTTGCATTATTCAATATAAAAACAACAAATTGCAATGAGATTACTTTTATGCACTCTTACAAATAATTGATTTTTTTTACATACCTAGAATTATTCTTAACCAAAATAAAAATGTTTTTTGATAAGCATACTTTTTTGGTTTATGTACCAACCAATCATTATAATGTATGTCCATTTTCTATGTAATGCACGTTTCTGTGGCCTTGAATTTTACTAGTCTCTTTCTACTTTTTTTTTTTTTTTTTTTTTTTTTTTTTTTTTTTTTGTTTTTAATCAATTCCATTGTATAATGTTGTGCAGTAAATATCATGAAGATTGTTCTTTTATAAATTGGGGTTCAACTCTCTAAAGTTATTTTTTTTGAATAACCAACATGTTGGACTTATTTAAGTTTGATGCTCCAATTTTCTTAAAATTTCTAAATAACGTCTTTAGTTCCCACTTTGATATTTTATGTGGCACAATATAATGAAAAAGAAACTACTAATGTTGCATAAAAAC